CTCTCACACACACACACACACACACACACACACACACAGCTTAGACATCTAGTTTTATTTGGTTTAGACATCTAGCAGACAAGTGACAAGATAGAGTCATTACTGGACAGTTATGTTATTAGATGTGGTATTTGCTCAAAATATACTTTAAACAACTTTTTTAGATAGACAATATGAGCATCTGAATACAGCTTTGTGTTGCTAGGAAGTGTATATTCGCAATATATATTAAGAATAAGAACATAGAAAGCAATTAGTTCAACAGATATGACTTCTGAACAGAAACAGCTTGTGTGTGCTCACTCACCTGCATACTGTCTGGCTAACTTGGCTACATCTTCTCTTGTAAACACATATTGTTTATTTGCCATCCAATATCTTATAAACTGAACTGTCAACACCAGAAACCCGAGAACCACCACCGCTTTTAGAATAGCTCTTATTACAGACATCGCAATCCGGGCTCACACAACTGTTTAAAAGTACAGTGGATTGCAAAAGACATTAAACAGACTTCTTTCACACACACACACACACACACACACACACACACACTCTCTCTCACTCACTCACACACACACACTCACTCACTCACTCTCACACACACACACACACACACACACACACACACACGTGAAAGGCGACGGGCGATGACGCGAGGTGACGTCACGCTGGTGGCAACCAATCGGCTGCCACAAACGGCGAGTTCTAGTCCAATGAAATCGCTCAGAGCGCAACACGGAAGCAGGCGGCGCGTCTTTATCACCAATACGCCTCCAAAACACGCAACATGCACAAAGCGGCTTTTATTGATACAGTGAGACATATCGAGTAAATGAATGTATTTACGTATGTGGTATTATTTTTGTTCTCCGGGAGCCTGTAAACAGCGCCAGCACTGTTCGGTTTATGCATCTTTAGAAGCCACATACTGCGTTGTATTTGCGCAGCACTGTTCGCTTGAGGATACTTAGGAGGGAGATCTAATGAAAACTTGAAATCTAGAAAGAAACAATAAAAAAACCCGTAGCAGGTGATCGGATATATTTCGTAACCACTGGGGATTTTATTAAGCAGTACGATGGACAGTATCAGTAAACCCACGTTTGATCCTAAAGGTGAGGGATGCTGTTACATGTTCACACTTGTGCATATTTATGATCTAAGCTCTGAACTGTGCGTGATTCACGGATACATCTAGATGCCATGCAATGACCTCTTTTTGTTATTGCTCTTGTGGTTTGAAGCCACTGAAAATAGTATACTTGATAGACGAGTCACGTGACGGAAGCGGATCATGTGATTGGTGCGAAGTCCGAGTCATTTATAGAATCGGTTCGTTTGGACAGTTTATGTCAATGAACCGGTTCAAACGGTTCAAACTCATTTTAGTAGTTAGGCATCACACGAGTCGTTTTTAAGTAAAATACATTTTAGATGCATTTTTATACATGCTATTGTTTATCACAATGCTTTAAAATTAGTATAGGTTGCTTGGAATTTTATGATAGCTATGTTCAGTGTTGGGGAAAGTTACTTTTAAAAGTAATGCATTACAATATTGCGTTACTCCATAAAAAAGTAACTAATTACGTTACTTAGTTCCTTTTTATGGAAAGTAATGCGTTACGTTACTTTTTAAAACTGGAGAGGGCTTGCTTGTTTGTTTTTAAAATAAAAAAGTTATATTTTTGGCAAATATAAAAGCCTTTTCACACCAAAAGTGAAATGAATGCGCCTCAGGCTGAAGGGAAAGTACAGTAGAATGCAGAAGAAGACATTTCAACACACTTCAGCAATAAACAAAGACACACAAATGTTTGTCTAGAGTAATTTGTGCTTATTAGTACGCTTGAACCGGATCATCGAAGCAAATAGAATGGGATTAAATACATAAAGCATATTTGTGTTGTTTAACATTTAATTATTGCAGGTTTGCGTTATATTCTGAGTTGCATTATTTTTATTCATTTTGAGGAATACTGAATCTGTGTGTGTGTGAGTGAGATGAATTAATGCATATTCAGATTTATTTTAGAACTACAGTAACATCTGATTTCTCTCAACATGGGCACAGGAGAGCTGACAATCAATACATTTGGAAAAAAATGTAACTTGCGTTACTTATTTGAAAAAGTAACTCAGATATTCTCTTGTAAATGAAAAAGTAATGCGTTATTTTACTAGTTACTTGAAAAAGTAATCTGATTACGTAACTCACGTTACTTGTAATGTGTTACCCCCAACACTGGTTATGTTTGTTTAAACTGTCAAATTGTCCTGTGAGATTCATTCATTTACAAGCGCTTTGCGAAATCTACTCGTTCAAAAGATTATTCGTTTGTGACTCAGTGACTCAGAAATTAACTTACTGACTGGCAAAGTTCTGCCTGTTACCTTTCAAATCAAATCTCATATTATTCTTGAATTTGTTTCAGAGCACCAGCATCTAAGGTACAATCCCCTGCGGGACTCCTGGGTTCTGGTCTCGGCTCATCGGATGAAGCGTCCGTGGAAAGGACAGGTGGAGAAACCTCCAGAGGACAACACCCCACGACATGACCCAAACAACCCCCTCTGTCCCGGCAGCGTGAGAGCTAATGGAGAGGTGAGCAAAACAGCTTTTCCGACTGAATGTTGCCGAGGTGTCATTACAAGAAGTGAGACACAAAACTGAAATGAAAAAAAAAAATATATATTCTGAACATTATTGCTTTGGTATAAAGCCATCTCAGTTTAGAGATATATCTTTTAGAGCCCAACCGATATGGGTTTTTTGGGGCCGATACCTATATTAGGGAGTAAAAAAAGGCTGATATCGATATATCGGCCGATATTCTTTGTGTATATTATAGTACAATACCAGTCAAAAGTTTGGACACTTTCCCATTCGAGGGTCCAAACATTTGACTGGTACTATATATAGAATACAGTATATACATAAACATAATATATATACACATTTTTTGCAATGATCACTCAAATGTGGTGATCAAACACTTATAATGACGTGACAAAGATGCGTAATGGAGGCAAGGCATTTGACAATTTAACAATAAACTTTATTATGAAAAATGAGTCTGACATCAGTGCACTGAACAGTAAAGTTGAAGTTTAATCAACTTTAATTCAATTCAATTCCATTCAACTTTATTCCTTTGAAGTTTAGTTCACTTTCGGAACATTCATTCACGGATTTGCGCTACTGTCTTCACACACAGACGAAACTTACTAGAGAAGTGTGAAGTGTGACATAATATACCTCTGTAAATAAATACAATATAAATTTACGTCTCACGCACTTTAATGCCCTTTGAATGTAACGTGTACATTCCCTTGGAACTGGAATCATGGCGGAATTTCATGTGATGTCCACTTCGCAGGGCACTTACGGTCGAATAAGACCACACTTGAATGCTGCTGCCTGAACAAGAGACCTCCTTACTGAAGTGAAATTGTTGACTGGTGTCACAATCTCGCGAATCTACCCTCCGTGCGTCGGTAGCCCCCCAAGATCGCTTGATCGGTCAGCGCCGGACCGCGAATTTGATCACCCGTAACTCCCGAACCCCGGGTGTTATCGACGCGGGGGTGGTCTCATTCAAAAGCGGGCCTCTAGACGTACACTCGATTCGCGTTCGAGAGGGTTCCTCAAGCTGAAGGCATCTCCCGAATTTGGTGCGGTTTCGCCACGCCATTATGGAGATATGGCCGTTCAAAGATTTAATGGTTTTCCATAGACTAAGCTTTAAAGTGTTTCATCCAGGTCACCAGTAGCAAACAATGGAGCACGCTCTGCTGGACAAACTAAGTAATTACACAATTTTAAGTTAAATTCTGCGTTATATGTTCTGTAAAAAAATTTTTTCATATCAGCTGCATATTCGCCTATACCGATATATCGGCGACAGGCTCATATCGGCCGATAATATCGGCAAAACGATATATCGGTCAGGCTCTAAATGATCTTTTTCTGTATACAGTGGTGGCCAGACTTATTAGAACACTAGTATTTTCACCAGCTAAACAAATATTTTAAGTCAGTTATTTCTATCTTTTGCTGTAGTGTGTCAGTGGGAAATATCAGTTTACATTTCCAAACATTCATTTAGCCATTAATTATAATAATCCAGTGAGATTTTGTCTGAGATTACATGAAGAAACACAACAAACTGAGACAGGCTCAATCCAGAAGAACTGTGGCAACGTCTCCAAGATGCTTCAAGAGACCGTCCTGCAAAGCTACAGTACTGTTAAAAGTTAAAGGCACTTGTGTAAAAATGCTGAAAAATGAGGATGCTGTCAAAAATAGTGTAATAGATTTTCTTTATCAATTAAGTTCTATTAACTAAATAAAATCAACATTTGGTGTGACCATCCTTTGCGTTTAAAGCAGCTTTTGCACTCGGTGCACTTGCGCATAGTTTTTCAGGTAGCTTTGCAGGACGGTCTCTTGAAGCGTCTTGGAGACGTTGCCACAGTTCTTCTGGATTGAGTCTGTCTCAGTTTGTTGTGTTTCTTCATGTAATCTCAGACCGACTGATGCTGATCAGATCAGATCTCTGTGTGGAGCACTGGCTGTTGGCAGACTCCTTGCGCAATAATAATATGCAAATCAGCATATTAGAATGATTTCTGAAGGATCATGTGACACTGAAGACTGGAGGAATGATGCTGAAAATTCAGCTTTGATCACAGATATAAATTACATTTTAAAATATATTAAAATAGAAAACAGTAATTTTACATTGTAATAATATTTCACATAATTAATGTATTTTTTTCGTTTTGATCAAATAAATGCAGCCTTGTCAAAGCCTTGCAATGTCATAGAGACTTCTTTAAAAAAAAAAGCATTACAAATCTTAATGTATATTTAACACTGGTGCAATGTCTTGCCCCATAGGCTTCCACTGTAGAAAACAGTTAATGTGATTTTTTGACTCCCTAAATCTTGTCTAAGGAATAATGCTGCTATTAGGCTACTATTTCTAGTTGCCTAATGTTATGTGTCCTAATTTTTTTTCAAATCACCTTTGTCATTTAGCATGTGATAAGACCCCGTGGTGTCCCAGGATATCGATGCGGTCCTACATATTAACATGCACTGATGTCAGTAGAGCTTGACGTTTTGGACCCAGACTGAACCTAGAATGTTCCTGTAAAACAAAATAAAGGCTTTCATTTAGTTAAATTCATTGGGGGGAAGAATATATTCTTAATTTTTTTGTACTGCAGTGCCATTTCCGATCCATTTACATGTGCTATTTTCAAGTATCAAGATTGTAGTTAAACGGTCCATTTACAGGATTTTAAACATTCATGAGCTTAGAGTTATAAGCTGTCGACACCTCTGGCTCAGCCTGCAGCATTATGGGAGTAAATAAATAAATAAATGTATTTATAAAGTAAAAGTTAACTAAGTAAATAAATAAATAATGAATAAATAAACATAAATACATTTTATACAAACAAACAAATAAATAAGTAAAAATTTAACATTTATTATTATGACTGTTTAATTTTCCTTTTCAAAAGGCTTGTTGGAAATCGTCTGATCGATTGCAAATATTCGTTCACAACCATCATTTTCTGTTTCTGTAGATTTATAAATGTAACATTTCAGTCAAAATGGTGGGGGGGGGGAAAAATCATCAAATTAATAGAAAGTAAGTGTTTTCCAGATACACTTTTACAGCTATAGTAATAGATCTTTATAACATTAAATTATATAGATGCTTTTATTTTTTTATGGGGTTCCCTCGCAACGGGATCGTCACATTTGGGGGGTCTGTGGCATCAAACAACAACAAAAAGGGATTAAAAGATGCTTATCCAAAGAAACTTACAGTAGGTTCTTTCCTCTTGGTTCTTACCCGCCCAGATCTTTAACCAAGCCTATGCCATCCTCCCTATTATATATTATTCTTACTGTTCCTTATAACAGTATTGTTTTTTGTTTTGTTTTCAGAGTACATTAGCACAGGTTGCCATAGATTGGAGCGGCACTGAGGGATATTTTGCACAGTGCGTTAGCTCCGTTATTGTGGCTCATGGCCCCTCTGAAGCACTGCTAATAAACTATTTCCCTGAGTTTAATCGCGCTGCGTGTAGAAATTGATTGTGCTGCCAGAACGGCGACACCTCAGGAGAGCATTAGCTGAGAGGAAAGAACTAAATTTCGTTGCAATGAGTCAAAACACATTAGAGGATGAGTCAAATAAGGCTTTATCAGCGTCTTGCTTGTGTTAGTGTATTATGTAGATTATTTATGAAATCACCATTTTTTCACATACTAACTTTGGTTTGGTCTTTTGGTATATCTTTAACAGTGTGACTTGAGTTATAAAAAAAATCAGGTCTGGTAATTAAGGGTGTATTCACACCAGGAAAGTCCTCTAGTTCGCTTGCTTTGGTCCGGACCAAATACAATTTAGATTTTTTTTTCGTTTGGTGCGTTGCGCTTTCACACTGCCCTTTTTTTACAAGTGAACCAGAAATGATAAACAAAACCACTCGTGTGCTAAGTTTATCCATTCAGGAAGTGCAAAAACAGGCTAATCATGGAGATCTTTCGTAGTGCAATTTTTATTCTTTTACTGATTTGGTGTTGTCAGATACTAATGCAATATGAAGAAACTTATGAGCATCATATGAGACAATGTCATGTGTTGTGCTTTTGTAAAATAAAGAAATCAAATAGGATGCGTTTGCTGTCTCGGTCTTGAACAGGAGTGCTTCACAAAAATGCACCGAAACTCTGTGAATATTTTCCTTACAGACATGATGAATATATCTATAGAAAGCTTTAAATGACTACAAAACGAAATAATTCAAATCCAAAACAAAAACTCTTATTATTATGTAATCCGTAAAGATGCATTTCTTTCTAAAGGCGCATTCAATGATGAGATGGCGAGTCAGGATCATCAACTTCATAGCGACACTGACTCATAAAACACTAGTTTATTAATAAATAATTCAAATATCTCCTTACTATTTCCCCCCAACATAGTCATGGTTGCGGCAAGCTTTAGCCTATTTAACGCGCTCACGTCACATTGCTGTGTGCCATGGTCACGAAAACTCATCATTTGCATGTGTTTTTAAGCATTGTGGTTTAAAAACAAGTGATTTAAGCCATTGAAACGCAAATAACAGCACTATATACGCGAGCTGTCTGTTTCTGAGCGTGATTTCTGCAATTGGGTCGGATCGAGGTCGGGTCGTATTCACACCTTAAACGAACCGTACCAGATTTCGTTTGGAAGCAGACTGAGACCACCTCTTCAGCTGGGTCTCGGGTACAGTTGTTTGGTCCGCACCCAAGTGCGATTGCTGTATTCACACCTGCCAAAAAGGTCCACACCAAGAGGGGAAACGAACTTGATTCAGTCGAACCAAACAAGACAGGTGTGAATACACCCTAAAATGTTTGAACACTTAAAAGTGACTCCATGGTCAGTGCACTTGCAGTCACTTTGGATAAAAGTACACAGTGTCTGCTAAATAACTACATACACAATGTACTGGTTGTTAGGCATCACTTGCAGTCATACAAAACAATTTCTCATAAAAAAAAATAACCTCACTATTTTAGTTTGAATTTATTTGTTTGTGACTTGCTGAGGCTTGTTTACAATTTCTTACATTTTTGTAATTTATCTTTTAAATAATATCATGTTTTAGTCATTTTTAGTTTATTTTGTATTACATTTTATGGCATCATCATTTTGATTTAATTTTATTAAATATTTAATTTTTTTGTATTTAAAGCATTTAAGCGTATTTTTGTATTTAGAAAAAAAAATAGTCTTCTATTAATATTATACAAGTAATAATATTTATATATATATATTTATATTTATATAGTCATGATACATAATATATGATTTTGAGTTGTATCATATTTTTAAATTTCACAACTTCTTAGCTGAAAAATAATTTGAATACACCGGCAGGTTAAAGACAAATCAGTTCAATAATTTGTCAAAATTTCATTCCGCTTTCTATTTCTGGTCATGTCATATTGTTAACACTAGGTGGTGCTGTCATCAAAGAAGTGACTGAGGTAGACGAGTCTTTGTACAAAGTCATTCAGGCCCATTATACAGTATGTTCACAGTGATTATCGTGTGGACATGTTTTATGGGAGAGACACCATTAGATTGTCTCTTACCCTGATTTCTCTGATCCCTAGTGATTTCAGTTTTATCTCCTCCACACTGGACCATTTTATGCATTATTTTTGAAGGCAGAAGATAACTTTACAGACACTGAGGAGATACAGATGGCTGCTCTGAAACAGCACCTGTGTGTGAAACCATCTAATTAGCAACGTAGCAGAGCAGGCCGCAAACACAGACCTTGCCAACTGATGCTCAACTCTAGTGCACTGGGATCTGACATTGTTTTCAAAGTAGTAAGAATAGCGCTCGAGGCGCAAACAAGTCAAGGACACCTAATAGAGAGAACTGGCTGCCCCACATAAAGCCTGAAAGAGGAGATTTTGGAAAGTTTGCACAGCTGTTGGGTTTCATTCAGGGCTGAGAGTTGACATAATTACACTGTGTATTTATTCATAACTCTGCCTGGATGATTTTCGAAGGTGAAGTGTAACATCCACTGTATGTTTTATGATGAATGCTTCTTAGATCATAACTGCTGTAGAAATGTGAGCTGGATGGATGGTCAGATAGATGGACTGACTGGTATAGATAAAGAGATACAGGCAGACAGATGGGCAGAAAGACAGATAACAGATAGATAGATAGATAGATAGATAGATAGATAGATAGATAGATAGATAGATAGATAGATAGACACAGAACACAATTACATTTATTCATAACTCTGCCTGGATGATTTTCGAAGGTGAAGTGTAACATCCACTGTATGTTTTATGATGAATGCTTCTTAGATCATAACTGCTGTAGAAATGTGAGCTGGATGGATGGTCAGATAGATGGACTGACTGGTATAGATAAAGAGATACAGGCAGACAGATGGGCAGAAAGACAGATAACAGATAGATAGATAGATAGATAGATAGATAGATAGATAGATAGATAGATAGATAGATAGATAGACACAGACAGAGAGAGATAGATAGAAAGACAGACAGACAGACAGACATATATAGATAGATAGATAGATAGATAGATAGATAGATAGATAGATAGATAGATAGATAGACAGACAGACAAAGAGAGAGACCAGACAGATATATAGATAGACCGAGAGAGACAGACAGACAGACAGAGATATATAGATAGACAGACAGACAGACACAGACAGAGATAGATAGACAGACAGACAGACAGACAGAGATAGATAGATAGATAGACAGACAGAGAGAGAGAGAGTAATTGTAATTTGTTACAGTTTAATACTTCTAAGATCAAATGTTCACGTGTTATAATTTGTTACAGTTTAATACTTCTAAGATGTTATAATATTCCATTATATTATTGTGATGTTCATTTACATATATATATATATATATTTTTTTTTTTTAAAATCTTTTTGTACATGTGTACTAAGCTTTGGCAATATCGTATCATTTACAGTCATGCCAATAAAGCAATTTTGAATGGAATTGAATTGAATTGAGAGAGAGACCAGACAGATATATAGATAGACAGAGAGAGATAGATAGACAGACAGACATACAGAGATGGATAGATAGACAGACAGACAGACAGACAGACAGACAGAGATGGATGGATAGATGGATAGATAGATAGATAGATAAACAGACAGACAGACAGACAGACGGATGGATAGATAGATAGATAGATAGATAGATAGACAGAGAGACAGACAGACAGACAGACAGAGATGGATGGATAGATAGATAGATAGATAGATAGATAGACAGAGAGACAGACAGACAGACAGACAGAGATGGATGGATAGATAGATAGATAGATAGATAGATAGACAGAGAGACAGACAGACAGACAGACAGAGATGGATGGATAGATAGATAGATAGATAGATAGATAGACAGAGAGACAGACAGACAGACAGACAGAGATGGATGGATAGATAGATAGATAGATAGATAGATAGACAGAGAGACAGACAGACAGACAGACAGAGATGGATGGATAGATAGATAGATAGATAGATAGATAGACAGAGAGACAGACAGACAGACAGACAGAGATGGATGGATAGATAGATAGATAGATAGATAGATAGACAGAGAGACAGACAGACAGACAGACAGAGATGGATGGATAGATAGATAGATAGATAGATAGATAGACAGAGAGACAGACAGACAGACAGACAGAGATGGATGGATAGATAGATAGATAGATAGATAGATAGACAGAGAGACAGACAGACAGACAGACAGAGATGGATGGATAGATAGATAGATAGATAGATAGATAGACAGAGAGACAGACAGACAGACAGACAGAGATGGATGGATAGATAGATAGATAGATAGATAGATAGACAGAGAGACAGACAGACAGACAGACAGAGATGGATGGATAGATAGATAGATAGATAGATAGATAGACAGAGAGACAGACAGACAGACAGACAGAGATGGATGGATAGATAGATAGATAGATAGATAGATAGACAGAGAGACAGACAGACAGACAGACAGAGATGGATGGATAGATAGATAGATAGATAGATAGATAGACAGAGAGACAGACAGACAGACAGACAGAGATGGATGGATAGATAGATAGATAGATAGATAGATAGACAGAGAGACAGACAGACAGACAGACAGAGATGGATGGATAGATAGATAGATAGATAGATAGATAGACAGAGAGACAGACAGACAGACAGACAGAGATGGATGGATAGATAGATAGATAGATAGATAGATAGACAGAGAGACAGACAGACAGACAGACAGAGATGGATGGATAGATAGATAGATAGATAGATAGATAGACAGAGAGACAGACAGACAGACAGACAGAGATGGATGGATAGATAGATAGATAGATAGATAGATAGACAGAGAGACAGACAGACAGACAGACAGAGATGGATGGATAGATAGATAGATAGATAGATAGATAGACAGAGAGACAGACAGACAGACAGACAGAGATGGATGGATAGATAGATAGATAGATAGATAGATAGACAGAGAGACAGACAGACAGACAGACAGAGATGGATGGATAGATAGATAGATAGATAGATAGATAGACAGAGAGACAGACAGACAGACAGACAGAGATGGATGGATAGATAGATAGATAGATAGATAGATAGACAGAGAGACAGACAGACAGACAGACAGAGATGGATGGATAGATAGATAGATAGATAGATAGATAGACAGAGAGACAGACAGACAGACAGACAGAGATGGATGGATAGATAGATAGATAGATAGATAGATAGACAGAGAGACAGACAGACAGACAGACAGAGATGGATGGATAGATAGATAGATAGATAGATAGATAGACAGAGAGACAGACAGACAGACAGACAGAGATGGATGGATAGATAGATAGATAGATAGATAGATAGACAGAGAGACAGACAGACAGACAGACAGAGATGGATGGATAGATAGATAGATAGATAGATAGATAGACAGAGAGACAGACAGACAGACAGACAGAGATGGATGGATAGATAGATAGATAGATAGATAGATAGACAGACAGACAGAGATAGATAGATAGATAGACAGACAGACAGAGATAGGTAGATCTAAGCATAATGTTGTTAAGAGCAAGTTTTAAGCAAATTGTTGTGTTTGTTTGTTTTCAGTAAGGTCATGTGTTTCCACCCCTGGTCTGACATCACCCTCCCCCTCATGCAGCCCGCAGAGATCCGCAAAGTGATTGACAAGTGGGCAGATCTGATTGTAGAGCTGGGTGCCGAGTACACATGGGTGCAGGTTAGTACGTCTCGTCCTCTCACTTCTATTTTTTGGTGCACCTGTTACTTTGCATTCACAAGCAAACATTTTAATTTACTTTGCACTAAAACACAGCCTTAAGACACATGACTCATCTTAAAATAACAGACATTTTTCTCACTGTGACTCTCTCTGGGGGGTGTAGCAACTTAATAAAACGTTTGCACCATTTGCTGCCTCAAGAAACTTTCTCTCTAGAAGCCATGGAGTCACGGAGACGTGACTGCATAAGAGTGTGTGTTTAAAGGAGACCGAGGCAGGGACAGCACTCGATTAGGTTCTGTCCCAGTCTTCCTCATCAGCGCTAATTGGATCAATTGGGAGATGCTCTTCAGTCAGGGTGTCTCAGCGCTGATCAATGGCAGGCAGTGTGGAGCACTCCTCCGGCCTCTCTGGACACATTAATGCTCCTGCGGGGGAATAATGGAGCACTTCAAAGGGTTCCAGGGATATGAATACAGTGAATTAAGATGTTTGTGCCAAAAGATAGTCAACTTATGAGCGTGAGAGAGTTCCTTGAGCCTCAGTGGCTTTTTGACAGACTATAGATTCAGTTTAACGAAGGTTTTCTGCTTAAAGGTACAGAATCCTACACACTTTATCATTTTATGTTTTTCTCTGAAGTCCACTTATAACGTTAGTTATATTTTGTATGCCAAAAACAGTTATAATGTAGTTTTATATGACTATTTTTCACCCTTTTTTCTACTTTTCCTTAACACCAGTAGATAAATGGCCTCTGTTAGGATTGGCTAACCTTCATATACCTGTATGGATTTTGTCCACTAATTTTGAGTACAATCTGTGCTTTTTCGTCATTTTTTTTTATCTTACTTGTTGCTTTTCAATAGTAAACTTGCACATCTTATTGCACCCATTGTCCCACATTCACATGCACAAGAATGTATGTGTAAGAAACACAAAATCAAATGTTTTTGGATAACTGGGGCCATTTGCATAAACGTAGCCTCTATGTTAAGACTGTGTCTTGAACACAGAACTAGCCTGAACAATTAGCAGTTAGATAAGGGGTAATGAGTCTTATTTTTTCGGATTTAAATTAGACCAATCAATGTTTTTTTATGTAACTGACTCAAAACAGCTATGATAAATAAATAACTGTACAACAATTGTCCCTGTGATCATCGGCAGGTATAAAACAACTACTAGTTCTCCAGTTTTCCCACAAACTGATAAATAATGAAGGGAGGACACTCCAAAGGACCATAAAACACATCCAGTACCAAATAATACAAGAAGAGTGTATTCTCCTGGAGTGCAGGCATGCAATATACATTAAAGATATGGCAGTGTACAGACACCTCTTCTAATGCACTTTTAATGATGTAAGATACATAACAGCTACAAACTATCAAGGAGAGCAGTGCCATCAGTTACAGGGTTAATTATGTCATTAATTACTCACCCTCATGTCGTTCCAAACCCGTAAGACCTCCGTTTATCTTCGAAACACAAATTAAGATATTTTTGATGAAATCTGAGAGCTCTCTGACCCTCAATAGACAGCAACACAACTGAAATGTTCCCAGACCCAGAAACGCAGAAACGTAAGGACACCATGCAGGGACAGAGAGCTCTCAGATTTAATAAAACATATCTTAATTTGTGTTTCGAAGATAAACAGAGGTCTTACGGGTTTGGAACGACATGAGGGTGAGTAATTAATGACAGCATTTTCATTTTGGGGTGATCTCACCCTTAGGGGCAAGGGGCAGTCACTGAGCTATCAGCACTGAACTGTACTTGACATGGAATTGCGTTCTTGTGGTGCTCGCTTGCTTGTACAAGCTCAGAATTTTTTTTTACCTTTAGGGATAGAACAGCCTTAAAAGAAGCAACTTAGTACCTTATTTACCCCTAAAAGGTTTGTAGCAGTACCTTAAGTAGAGCCCTTTGATTTCCATGATGCAGAATTAAAACGCTGATGGAATCATGTCACTAAAATGCAGTGGCGGCTCGTGGGTTTTAAAATAGAGGAGGCACACTAATTGTATTGGTCTGGGATCCCTGCTGATTATTATTAGTATTATAATTTGCTTAACCACTTTAAAATGGTTTTTGGTTGCTTTTAGTCAGAAAACGTAAAGAAAACGACTTACATACAGCAAGATAATATAATTTCACTAACCTGGCCTATCACTTGAAGCAAACATCCATCCCTTCTTAAAAGTCTGTGTTAAAAGAGAGCTGCCTGTTGCACCATTTAATTAAGCTGACTGCTGTAGCCTGTATCCAGCTTAGGCTGTTTTCCCTAAATTTGTATATATACTGTTTGAACGACAGCTTGGTAAATCTGTTGGCGATCAAATATTCAATATCGCTACTCATCATAAGTACTTGGTACATTATTAGCGCAGCGGCAGACATTCAAACTAATATCACGTAATTTACATCTCTGTGATGATTGGTTGATATCAGAAGTGAGGCTAGCCTCCCTTGCGAGGTTTCTTTTCTCAACACTCCTCAGCGCTGAAAGTGAACACTCGATGCTGATTGGCTAATTTTTTTACCAACGGCAGCTCGAGAGCTCAGCTCTTCCCCGGCCTCCCAGCAACCCTTCCTTCTCTATCATTAGCGGTTGTAATTACATCAGCAGATTCGGCACATTCGCGGCGCTTTCACGTTATGGTATTACAACGGAGTAATTACAAACAAAAAATACACATTCTGCAACATGAACTGAAATGAATTGTGAATTTTATTAACATTAAATCGTCCTCCTCCCATTTTCACCTCAAAATTATGGGGAAGCTGTGCCTCCCCTGCCTCCCCCGACGAGCCGCCACTGCTAAAACGGAATTTGCTGTATAATGCGGGATGTCACGGAATTTGTCAAATTTTGGATAAATCAAAAGTAGGTCAGTACACTTAAATCAAATCGCGATATAGACTAGTGTTTGTGAATATTAAACTGCAAAAAGACTATTTAAATATAAACCTTACATGTTCTCTATGTCTCTGTGGGATGCACGGTTTCGCTTGAAGCATGCGTGACGCTTGTGGTGTTTTCAGCCTCTGGCGTCTCATATGATGACATGAACACATGAAATTCATCTCCAGCTACTCTGAGAAAGTCACTTCATGAGCATTTTACCACTTTATTTGAGAAAAAACTATCGTATATACACACACAGAAGCTAAGGTCTTCACAGCAACCTGTCAAAATAAAAGTTTGGTTTAACTTTAAGAAATTGTGACATAAATGTTTCTGTTATACAGTAGAATGTACGTCTCAATAGATAATAATAATTGCTATTATAGAATTATTCTTAAAACATTATTGTTAAGGAATAATCACAAATATTTTCTTTCAAAGTTTGAATTTTAACCGTAAACCTCTGTTGTGCGGCACTTTGTTTGCTAAAATAAATTTCATTTAATTTGATTATAAATTAGTTTTATCCCTTCATTTGATTACCAGAATAAATAAATAAATAAATACAATTTCACAGGATCCTTAAAAAGTATTTTTTTGTTAAATTTTTAGTAAACATTAAATTGTGTAAGTGCGATGATTTCAATTAATTAGACATGCTTTTTGATTACTAAAATGTAATTTAACAATAAAAATGGAAAAAAACTGAATTTGGTGGAATAAAATAAAATGGATTTCATTGCACCCTACTTAAGGGTGCATATTACTATTCTAAAGTACTAATAATGCATCTTTTAGAGGTAAATAAGGTACAAAGTTGTCCCTTTAAGGGTTTTGCCCCAGTGACAATCTGTTGTACTCCTAAAGGTACAGTTTTTGTGTCCGATCCTGTTCCTGGAGGGCCACCTTCCTGCAGAGTTTAGCTCCAACCCCAGTTAAACACACCTGAACCAGCTAATCAAGGTCTTCAGGATCACTAGGAAATCATAGGTAGTTGAGTTTGATCAGGGTTGGAGCTAAACTCTTGCAGCGCATTGGCCCTCCAGGGCAAGATTTGAGGAACCCTGAGCTAAACTCTGCATGAATGTAGCCCTACAGGAGCAGGATTGGACACCCCTCCTATAGACTGACCAGTTTGTCATTTTATGGTTCACAAGGTTGCTCGAGTGCATGTATCTATGTATTCATGGCAAAAGGAAGCACCTTCAGTGCTTTTGCTGAGCTAGCATTGCTGCAGACTTACCGCATTACGGCACAGTGCCAACCTCAGGTTACTCCAGGGACACTGAATCTGTAACTTTAACACCGTGTCCTAACCTAGGATTGTGACACATGTGGATCGAGTCTACACTGTGAAGTCCCATTGGTTCAAATTATACAGTAATTCTACACAGCTGCATATTAAACATTAAACATTAAAATATGTTCTGATTGCATTGTGTGGTGTTGCGACAAATTACTTGTTTTTGGAGATTTTTAATGTCATGCCAAGTTAGGACACAATGTGCTGTAATGCACTGTTCTTAGTTGATGAAAGAAAGTTAACTTAATTAAAAACAGTTCCATGACATGTCTTTTTCTTTTTGTTTTCATTATCAATGTTGAAACCCACCCCCCCCAAAAAACTTTTTCCAATGAACATTTTCTTCAGTGAATTGTTGAAAGATGCACCTGCAAACAAACCAAGACACTCTCATGGCAATTTGTAACTATTTTACATTTTGGCGATTTGGTGGATAATTCATGTGAACTAATTAATTTGTACAATCTAATTTGTATGTTTTTTTTTTGTACCATCTGCTTATGGTATGTTCAAGTACTGAGAAGTTTGAGTTGGGAATAAGTAATTATGTCAGGTGTGTGCAAGTCACTTTGGTTGGAGAAAGATGGCATCTTACCTTTATAATTGCCTTTTTAAGTCTATATTTTTGCTTTTTTATGATTTTATGAAATTTATGAAGGTGCTGTAAGCTTAATCATTATACATTGCCTAGCAAAAAAAAAAACCCTGCCATTTGGATTTGCTAATTTATTAGCTTATTAATTTCCAGACAACGACTTTTATTTATAAAATTTTTTTGGGCTAGGCACTGTATATTCTACAATACTGTGGCATTTTGTGCATGCAATTTAGCTAGTTTTATTGAATATTAAAAAACAACAACTTTATTTTATCAAATTTGCCATCAGTAGAGACACTGCGTGTATTGCACCTCCCGTATTTTCTCACTTACAAGCCGACACCTCAGAAGCTTGGGACTTAAAGAAAGCTTTGTTTTTCCCACGCGTAATTACGACATTGTGATGGCGTTCGTGTACATTCAGCATTTAAATACAATATTGCCACCGTTATGCGCCACTCATGGTTAGGTTTAGAGGTATAGGGCCAGATTAACTATCAGCTTGTGCCAGCACCAACACTCATTTGACGTTAAAAAACTACTGTCTGGATTTACTAAAGACACTCAGTGGTAAATTAGCACTGAAAAGGCGTGGACACAGTTATTTTTGCGACTCACCTTATTGAATATGCATTTGTAGCAGTTTCCCTTTTAATCTGAGAAAAAAGTTATGGAAGGAGAGTATTTAAATGCTTAGTTCACCCAAAAATGAACATTACCCCATGATTTACTCACCCTCAAGCCATCCTAGGTGTATATGACATTCTTCTTTCAGACGAATACAATCAGAGTTATATTAAATAATGTCCAGGCTAATCCATGCTTAATAATGGGAGTGGATGGTAGCCCAAAATTTGAAGTCGAAAAAATTGCACCCATCCATTATAAAAGAAGTTCACACGGCTCCGGGGAGTTAATAAGCGACGCGATGCATTTGTGTAAGAAAAATATCCATATTTACAACTTCATAAACCTTAATCTCTAGCTTCCGCTAACTTTCGTACATGCGTTCACGAGAGAGTGGCGTCCAGCGGATGACATAGCATGTAGCTAAACGTGGAAGTGACAAACGTGGAAGTGACGAATGTGGAAGTGCAGAGGAGAGAGCAAAACAAAACACTGGTCACGAATTAGTAGTACAAAACGAGGATTTGTAAAGAAAAATGTCTGAGGATTTCGATATAAGCCAATAGGACACTGGTTTTCCTTTGCTGTAAACAAAACTTGTTTCTCGTGAGACTAGCATATTCTCACCGGAGCTTATGATATGCCTACGTCTTACGTCATCCGCTGGACGCCGCTGTCTCAAGAACGCGCGTATGACAGTTAGCGGAAGCTAGAGATTAAGATTTATAAAGTTGTAAATATGGATATTTTTCTTACACAAATGCATCACATCGCTTCAGAAGGACTTTATTAACTCCCCGGAGCCGTGTGGACTTCATTTATAATGGATGGGTGCAATTTTTTCGACTTCAAATTTTGGGCTACCATCCACTCCCATTATAAAGCATGGATTAGCCTGGACATTATTCAATATAACTCCGATTGTATCCATCTGAAAGAAGAATGTCATATACACCTAGGATGACTTGAGGGTGAGTAAATCATGGGGTTATTTCATTTTTGGGTGAACCAACCCTTTAAATGAATCACGCAACACGATTTACTAAGATTTGCGCTCGTCAATTCACTGGTATTTGCGGCATTATTTAACGCCCAAAAAAAGCATGTCTTAAAGCAGGCGGTAATTTGCTCGGCTCTTGGTAGATTGCGCTGGTCATTATGGAAATGAGATGTTGCATCTGTGTTCTTTAATGTGCGCATTGTTAGTAAATCACCCGCAGAATTTTCCCCTCCCATCGGCGCTTTTATGGAATTGCGCTCTAACGCTAATTTGCCCTGTTTAGTAAATCTGGCCCTTAGATGCTTATTTTTCATAAAACCGTGTGATTCTGTACGAATAACAATGTGTAACGAAATTCACCACCTCATAAAATAATTGCATGCGATTGTGTTGAAACCGCAAATCATTGATGCTTATTTTTCATAAAACCGTGTGATTCTGTACGAATCACAATGTGTAACGAAATTCACCACCTCATAAAATAATTGCATGCGATTGTGTTGAAACCGCAAATCATTATTTTAGGGTGCAGCAAGGTTCAGTCCAATCCCAGAAGCATCTACAGGGGTGTTTCTACATTTCTTGCAGTTTATCCCAGTTAGCGGCTCCTCGGTGGTTATCTCCTCTCTGTTAAACACATCAGAGCATGTGTGTTGCCTCATCTTTGCGATTTACAGACCCTGAAGAGCTGTGACTTTAGCCGAGTCAATATTTATCAAGTGGAGTAGTCAAGGGCAGATCCTGCTCAAATCGCCCTTGAGGGAGGTGCCAGGAAGTCTTAAAACTCCCTTCGACAGGATGTTTCCTTTTAAACAGCAACACGTGCTCTGATCTCTTCATGTCTCAATAACAGAGTGCGTGTTTTGTCTGCACCTGTCTTGTTTGAGTGTGTTTCTGTACACTTGTATACAGTTTGCCGTGGCTTGTTATGTCTGAGTTCTTTGAAAGGACGTAATGACTTTTTCTTTCGTGTTTCAGATCTTCGAGAATAAAGGAGCCATGATGGGCTGTTCAAACCCCCATCCTCACTGTCAGGTATGCCGTCACCTCGTTACTTCATTGATGTCCCCTTTTTTCTAGCCCTCCTCCTGCCAATTAGCATTTGCCCCTGTCGACTCGCTGAGGCAGAGAGCCCTGAAATGCTACTCTGCGGATTAAGACGTATCCGCTGCAGTCTGGACTCGACCATCTGGACTGCTCGTTTTTAGGCTGGAATAGGTCTTTAACTGTCAGCTCAGTGGAGAGACTGCTGACGAGACGCGGCTAATGCAAGCAGGAGCGTAAAAAGCCTGTAGACTCCAATTAGGGGAGTACAGAGATAGTCCAAGGAAAGACGTCACCGAAACGTCTTCCTTATTTCCAGAAAATTTCTCTCGGCTCTCGCTCTTGGAGTCGAACGGGTTTGTCTTGTGGGGATTCTGGGATTTAATTTTTTAAAGGAGGTCGCTGGGATGGCAATGGGGTGGAAAACGTAGCTGCTTTTATCAGTTTGATAGCGTTCAGTGTAAATGATGTTTTATTGACATCTTCATGACTCCGAGCAGCAAGGAACTTCTGTTTCCTCTTGTTTCACTTTTTCTGGCTGTCTGTCTTACCCTTGTTTCTTCTAAGCGCAGGAAGCCTGTCACTGTCGTGCCGAGACAGCACAGCAAGCCAATCTCACTGGGTTGGCCGCACACTGAGCTCCCTTTCCCTGCATTCATTAAGTGTTTATGGCTGTGCGCTCAGCTAGGGGGCAGTAGAGGATTTTCAGATGGTTTGACATGAGCTCTGTTCAAAGGAGCTGTCAAAAACCTCTCATATCTTCCATATCATACTTTCTTTATAATAAACCACACCTGAAGAATGAAGGTTTAACGGTCATACCATAGATTTATGGTTTACCGGCTTTCATTTATTTCTCAGCCTCATCAAATCTGATCTCTGGTGCCGATGCGCTGCAATGTGAACTAACTTGTTAGGTTGTGATTGATACAGTTTAGATGGCTGGAGAAAGTTAACTTATTCTGCAGTTGCAGGACATTTCATTTTTATAACACAGCGACCAAAATAAACACAGTGCTATTATCAAAAACAGAAACTAAAATGAAATTAAATGTAACCAAACATTTGAAAGTAAACTAAAATACATTTTCATGACTGTAACTTGTAGTTTTTAATAAATGGTATCAAATAAAACTTGATAGTATTATAAAACTTGAAACCTTAAGTAGGCCTACAAACCTACATTAAATGAAAATTGAGTAGATATCAGCATTATCAGTGTTATTTATTATAATTATATACTGTTTTAGAATTTGTTCATATTTTGTGTTAGCTTTAATTTGAATATTTACAGGTTGCATTTTAATTGTAGTTAAATTTTTGGTAATTTTGTTATGTGCCTTTGTCATTTTATTAGCTTTTTTAATATATATCTGTGTGCAGTTTTAATTAATTTTTATTTCAGTTTTATTTAATTCATTTTACTAGCTCATTTTATCTAAACTTATTTTCTTTCAGTTAGTTCCCAACATTTCTAATTTTCAAGTTTTTTTTAAGTTTATGTTTTCGTCTAATATTATTTAATGAACAAATGCCATTTAATAGTTTTAGTTTTAGCTGACAATAACACTGGATAGCAATAACAGTAATATTGTGCTTAATAGCTTATTAACTTAATTAACGTATTCATTGTGCCAGTTTAGTTTAGCTTAAACTTTGATATGCTTAAAATACGTACACTATAATGAAACGTAAACTAAAATAAAAACAAAAATAAACTGAAAATAATGATTTAAAAAAATGAAGCTAATTCAAAAGCACAAATCCAAAGTGGAACTAAAAACGAGATTAGAAATCCATTCCAGTCAAATTGTAGTTGTGTCTGCATATTAAACTGGAGCAGGACAACATATTTGAACATTGAACAAATTACATGCTTTTTCCAGGTGGATTTTTTTGCACTAAATGTTAATAGACCCTTTAGCAGCACCACATTAGACTAGTTTCCTTGGCAACAGCTCATCCATGCATCATACTGTCAGTATGACAGCACATCCACCCCGCGTCCCAGTATGTGCTGGACGTGACATCAATCATCGACCTCTAACATAAATCAACCTCCCAGCATACACAGGCTCAGCCCAGATAGAATCAGCCGTAAGCCGCTCTTAAGTTTCTCATATGATTTTATCAATGGACGCAGCTAAATATGAGTAAATAAATCCCCCTCCCTGTCCGTGTGTGTGGCCCCGTGGAGAGACTGGAGCTCTGTGTGGCTTAGGTCTATGTCAGCCGGCAGGAGTCAAGCTTTACCCAGCATGCCCTGGGAGAGATGGATAAGCTGCGTGTATCTGGCTGCCTACCTTCTCCAGGATGAGAGTATTTGCGGAGAGGGAGCGAGTGAGCGAGCGCTCGCGATACAGCGGGCTGTCTGTGTTGATCTGTGTCTCTTTCTCTCTGTCTGTCCCACGCTTTCTCATATCATCCGTAACCACCCACCCCTGAACAAACACAAAACATCAGCTCTCAAAACAGAGACTCATCTGTCTCTTGAAACGATTATCGAGCTGCTGTTTTGTGAAATTTAAAACATTTTATCTAAGGGTCTTTTCACACTTTTTGGCTCTTATCAGGGCTCGTCTGAATTTTAGCCGATGTGTGAATAGTCCAAATGGACTCTAAATACTTTAAAGGACTAGTTCACCCAAAAACGAAAACTTGCTGAAAATGTCCCCACCCTCAGGCCATCCAAGATGTAGATGATTTTGGGAAACAGATTTAGAGAATTTTAGCATTACATCACTTGTTCACCAGTGGATCCTCTGCAGTGAATAGGTGCACACACACAGCAGTGAACACACACACACCCAGAGCAGTTGGGGGTTCGGTGCCTTGCTCAAGGGCACCTCAGTCGTGGTATTGAAGGTGGGAGAGAGCGCTGTACATTCACTCCCCCCACCTACAATCCCTGCCGGTACGAGACTCGAACCCACACTATCGATCCCCCATACTACCCCATACTAATGATCATTATCATACTAATCATTATTCCTATTTAATAATTTTTATGGGGGCTGGGTTCCACAAAAAAAGTGTGAGTGGCAAACGAATGTACACCCTGCCACAACTAAATAGATATTAAAGTGGTCATGGCCTTTGTTTTTTATTTTGTACTGTCCTCTGAGGTCCACTTATAATATTATCAAGATTTTTAAATCAGAAAAAAACATCCTAATTTAGAAGTAATAGGCCATTTTCTGTCCTGTTTTAACCCCCCTCATCAGAACGCTCTGTTTGAATAAGCGTGGCGGATTGTAGACTCAGAAGTAAACGTCCGCTGCTATGATTGGCTAATAGATGTGTATGTTTGACATCGTACATTCCTCATAGATGGACACTGCTGTGTTTTAGGTCAGAAACGCATAAATACTCGTATCAAACGATCTGTAATAACAGACAAAGCAATAGTGACCACATAATAAAAACAGTTACTCACATTTGGTGTAGCATTACCAATATTGTCGGCACAGCATCATTTTTGAGTTTCAATCTTTCCCGCGTCTAATTGTGCCTTGTTTGTAAACGAGTCCGTGGTAAAATGAAGTGAACAAAGGACCAAGTTCTTACTGACGCGGCCTGGAAAGTTAATTCACTCTTTCCTAACGTTGGGAAAAGAAGGAAGGCAATGCAAAGACTGTGTTTCCACTAGGGCTGGACCAGAATATTCGATTATTAGTATCTAAGGTATTTTATTAATAAAAGTCGCAGGGCAGCATTGACAACAAGGTTCTGTGCTCCTGAATGTTTTTGTGTGTGCTCTGTGTGCAATCTCTGTGTGCGTGTGTGTGTGTGTGTGTCACTGAAAGCAGCATATTAATATAGAACGGTGATAAAACTGACTTGGAACTACCTGTGCATTAAAAGGTTTTAATGCATACCTGCCAGCCAATCAGAATTGAGTATTCAGACAGACCATGGTAACAGATTTATATTTATTGATTTATTTTAAATAGAAATCTTACATTATAAATTATAAACGTGATCAGAAATTACATTCTAAATATATTAATTGACATTTTTGACCAAATCAATGCATCTTTGTTGAATAGAAGCATCAATTCTTTGAAGAAAATGCCTACATTATAAATGGTAGTGTACATATAAACTTTTATGCTTACAGTAAACTATAGTTCGCCTTTAGTGCAATAAAGCATGTGAATAGAATGTCACTTTTTGCCTGAGTTGGATTGTTTGAAAGAGGACTGACACCCTTAGGGTGACTGCTTGAACCAGTGGAGATGTACACTCTTTCACTCAAGTTTTATATCAACATGCTGCATCACACTGCTAGGAAGGAGATTTTTGTGTAAAGAGAAATTTGTTTAATTTATATAATAACATACTCTGCCGGTCAAAAGTTTGGGATCAGAATGATTTTTATGTTTTTTACCGGAGTTTCTTCTGCTCATCAAGGCTGCATTTATTTGATCAAAAATACAGGAAAAAAAAATATTGTGAAATATTATTATGATGAAAAGTTAAAAAGAAAAGCATTTATTTAAAATAGAAATCTTTTCTAACAATATACACTACAGTTCAAAAGTTTGGGGTCAGTACATTTTTGTTGTTTTTTGAAGAAATTAAAACTTTTATTCAGCAAGGATGTGTTAAATTGCTAAGAAGTGAGAGCAAAGCTTTATATTGTTAGAAAAGATTAATATTTTGAATAAATGCTGTTCTTTTTAACTGTTTATTCATCAAAGTATCCTGAAAAATATTGCAGTTTCCAAAAAAAAAAAAAAGGCAGCACAACTGTTGCCAACATTGATAATTCTAATAATAAATCACCATATTAGAATGATTTCTGAAGGATCATGTGACACTTTAGACTGGAGTAATGATGCTGAAAATTCAGCTTTCATCACAGAAATAAAATATATTTTAAAGGATATTAAAATAGAAACCATTATTTTATATTGTAATAACATTTTGCAAGATTACTGTTTTTTTTCTGTATTTTTGATCAAATAAATGCAGCCTTGATGAGCACA